CCCAAAATTTCTGAATTTGCAGATTTTATTTTAGCAAAATCACCATGCCTTTCAATGTGTAGTGATTTTAAGGGATTAAATTTCCACAGTTTCTGAAATCTGCAAAATTAGCAGAAATTTTAGGCCACAGAAATATCTAGCTACATGTTATGGCATTTGCAATGAAAGGTTCATTTTTAACTTCTTTTCTCTGTTAAACAAAAAACAATTCCCCAAGACTAGATAATATTATATTATCAACTCTTTATTTCCCTTTGGCACTACTTAATGTGACATCAGTATATTTCCAGGTCAGTAAACACTAGTTCTGCTGTATAAAATTTGTTTTTGTTAACTATAGAATGACATTCCTGTCTGATTATTTTTAGAGATAAAAGTACGCTACAAAGTTCTTTGTAAACATTAATGCAAAGTACATGTACTTTATACATTTACTATTAATATTGCTTATTCCTTGTAGACTCAACAGAGTAACCTGAGAGCAAATGTGTGGCTAAACAAGCATTTCTTCATGTTTCAACTGTTTTTTACATTATTGTTTGAGTTATGAACATTATAAATTAAAGTATAATTTAGTCAGTACTGCGTATTCGCAGATTTCTTCTTTTCTTAGCTTCATAGTGTAGTTTAAATTACCAAAAGCAAATAATTGCACTGAGTTCTCATCATTTAAGGTCAATTGTTCAAATGATGTTTCAGGTTTTACTTAGTTCTTTTTTGTTCTTTATTTTTCAGTTTTAAAGTATAGTGCATACCAAGAGTGACTAATCAAACAGACTTGTTACCAATTATGTTTTTTTTAATACAAAGATTCAAATAATACTTTCATTGCTTCTTCTATTCTCAGTTTCAAATTACAGGAGCGAGTGAGTTCTAATCATTTCAGTTTATTATAAAATGATATTTCATTGACTATATGTTTCTCCTTTTCTCACTTTTATTGTATAGTTTAGTGTACCCGAAGTCACTAATCAGACTGAGTTCTTATAATTAGATATTGGTTAGGAAATCATGTTTCATGTTCCACTCACTTCACATTTGTTTCTTCTTAATGGTTCTTAAATGCAGGCATTAAAGTCAATTAATGAAAAGGCGGGGGCCACTCCTTGAAATTCGACTGGTTTATCCTCGTGGTCAGTTGTGTTTATTTGAGTGGCCAAGTTTTGGTCCATTGCTGTGTAATTTTGTTGACACCACTCCTTAAAGGAACATTCATTATGCCAAAGACTTGTCGTGCTAGAATACGATCTTAGTGTATCTTTTTCAGCTTTATCTGAGTTTTTGGCACAGGAGGTTCACCAGCACTTAGCTGCGCTTCCCCTGCTGGTAACCAGGACGAATCAGGTCCCTCATTTGCGCCTGTTGATCGAGTACTAAGCCCCCTGCTGACCTTTGCAGCTGGTGCTGTATGTAAGCTAGTTGCTATTGGTATTTATTGTCGGGGTTATTGTGTTTTAATTTTTTACGGTTTTTTGTTTGTTTGTATTGGGGGGGCAGGTTGCATATTATGGGCCGGGTTGTATAACCTGAAGGTGTCAGTCGGATTCCTCACATAATTGTTTACTTTTCTCGGTCTCTTAATTTTATTTCTTTTATTTATTATCTAACCATGGCATGTGGCTTTCCAAACTTACTGCTTAACACCTATTTTTATCAGTTTTTTTTAATTTTGGGAGCGTGCCTGCTAATGATGTTTGCGAGGGTTTGGAGTGAATGCTTCTGCAATGTTGTAGCGGTAAGTTGTATGCTGGTTCAGTGTTATGTCAGCTTTGTGTATGACGTGAATTATTGCCTAGATATTTCTTTTATTTCAGTGTTGCAGCATGTAAATAGTTCCTTGTTTCCTTGCAGGACTCTCCACATAGGTCAGTATTCCTTGCAGCTTCCTTGGTAGCAGTACGTCTTCTTTTGGTGGCTTCCTGCAGCCAACTGTTCATTTCAGCTAACTGCACACTTTTTCCACTGTCAATGGCTCATCTTCACTTGTGCTGCCCTCCCAGTGCCATGGCCTCCCACAGCATACTGTCTCTCCTGGTGTCTGCTTGTCTCTGTCAGATGATCCTATCGTGGTAGGGCTAGTCCAGAATATCTAGAGTGGCCAGTTCATTGACGTAAGGGAACTGCTGGGTGAGAACATTGTGCTTCAGCAGCATTTAAAGTCATCAGCTGGCTACTTCCCAATGGTTTTGCCATCATCAACTCGCTCTCGCCTCTGAGGGGCATCTACTTTTCCCTTGTGGATTTATTATTTTTGACTTATGTGACTGTGTTAGTGTAGGACCAGTTTATTCGGGATTACCTTGTGCATGCTAGGTCCCTACTTCGGGAATCACTTCGTCATTGGGGTCAAAGCTGGTTTGATAATGACTAGCTGTTTCGGAAGTAGGCAGCCCTTGATCAATCTTTGTTGTAGAACACTTGGCACACTTGCTTGGTGACTTCCACCATTCTCAGCCAATTGAAGGGCTTGGAACTTGTTGCCGGGTTTGTCAGGTCAGTGACACTTATTCTGCTGAGTGGGCCTTGATGGTTCTTCAGCCTTTAGCTCAGCAGGGAGTCCCAGCCTAAGTTCTGAGGTCCTCTCAGGTTTGTTTCACTTATAGTGATATCCCTTCCGATTGCATGTTTCGTACAACTATGAGAGTGCGAGTCCCACCTCCTCTATCAGCCCCACCTGCATCTCGTTGACTTTGATCTTCCTTTGGCTTGATATGTTAGGTTTTGTATTTATTTACGTTTTCTTGTTCAATATGATTATGTAATTTTTATTTTGATTGTCTGTTGTGGGCTGTGTGGCTGTTTGAGCTTTTGGGGGATCTAATGACTTGTTTCCACGTAGGATGGTAATGGTGGTCATACCGGTCTCCTTTGTTAGGCCCAGGTCTTAGGACTTGTACCTTGGCACTAATGGGCTTGGTCTGAGGTTGTAACATTTATGAGGATGACATTGATGGCTTATCCTCTGAGGTATGTCTTCACTATGTGCTTCCAATGGAGTGCTAATTATCCGTGTTGTCTCCTATTAATGTCTTAATGTTGTTTTCACTTGTGTCTTCCTACCCTCATCAGCGGCTGTCGACATATGTTGTGTCTGGGATCAAAACCAGTTTTTTTGTTTAAAGTGTCAAAGGATGATGTGGTCTGCTCATCCTCCCGTAAGCATCCTTCCAGTCAGTCAATGCCTTTAGTGGTTGGTGCTTTTTTACCATTGGAACAGGCTGCTGGTCAGATTTCTGGTCCATCACCATGCTCATCTTCACTGTGGGACTGCTTCCCAAGGGTCATGATGGTTTAGCACACAGGATTATACAGTGAAACCTCTGATAACGAAACTTCTCTTTCACTAAAACCTCGTTATAATGAAAAAAAATTAAATTTACCAACTCATTTTCCCAGTTTTTCAATTAAAACAAACCTCCCTTTAACGAAAACGTCTCTCTAACGAAATAACAAAAGCCTTTTTGTGTCCCAAAGTAATTTTTCACTTCTTTTTAACGAAATGGGTGTGCCCACATCTGGGCGTGCTTAGGAGGTGCAGCCCATTAAGAAAAATAAACCATAGATATTTGAGTAATTCTCGGAGTTATTTTAAGTAAGCAAGAATAAACAAAAGAATAAACAGAGTTATTTACAGTAAGTTCTGATTGCGAAGACACACAAAGATAGCTTCTAGCTTTTAAATGTAAGGCTCTGGTCCGTAAAATTGATATGTACAAGGAATTTCTATACCAAAACCAGCACCTGTGTTTACTTTATTGCCTGTTACTGTCACAAATCCCTTGTTACACTCCCGTAGAAGGAAATAAGACACAGCATTTCAAATATTAAAAGGGATTTGACCAAAAATCTCTCCATCTTTCAGCACACAAACAGCTGAACCATCTTTAATATTGTCTGGGTCTCTTTTTATTAGTAGCCCTTCTCTAATATAAGGAGTCCAAACTTCCATGTAAGCATGATATCCATGAATAAATGAAATTAGCTCTCTTACTGCAGTCTTGCATGTCCTTTTATTTGTTTGGGATGCCATGATATTACAGACTTACAGGTACCGCTGCACTATGAGCACGCCCATGCACGTGGTGTGACTGTAACAATATCTAGCTGCTGTCAATGGCTTCAAGCTTGGATTCTAGAAAGAGAAAGCATCTTACTCTAAAGGATTAAGTTCAAATTATCAAACAGCATGACAAAGGAAAGTGCTGAAGATCTCAAGGTGGAATATGGATGTGAACAAACACAAATCTATTCGATAATAAAACAGAAAGAAGCTATAACTGAAACCAATGCGTCTAGTTTATCTCACAGTTTAGGGCACAGGTGTCAAAAATCTACATTTTCTGATATCAATGATCACTTGTATCTCCTTGCCTGCTCTAAAAATATTTATCATAATGGACCAACATTAAAGAGTAAAGCACAAGAAATAGCTGCGAAGTTAGAAATTGAAGGGTTTAAAGCATCAAACTGTTGGTTTGACAAATGGAAGCATCGTCACTCTATTAAGAGATTATGTGTTTGTGGGGAACCTGGTGATGTTAGTGACCTGACAGATTCATGGAAAGATTGCCTACCAGAAATTCTTGCTAACTATAAGATGGAAGACATCTATAACATAGATGAGACAGGTTGTTTTTGGTGTTCTTTACCTGATAAAGGAATTGGAACAAAAACATTACTGTGCAAAGGAGGCAAGAAATTCAAAACATGAGTGACTAAGGCTCTTATTGCTAATACTACTGGAGACAAAGAAGACCCCATAGTGATATCGACATCCAAAAACTCCCACTGCTTCAGAGGCATTCAAACAAGGAAGTTACCAGTATTTTTCTTTGATCAAAGAAATGCTTGAATGATGGCAGACATTGTGTACAAAATTGTTGGCTCTTTCAATCGTAAAATAATTCATCAAAAAAGACCTGTTTTACTTTTAATCGATAACGCAGGCTGTCACCCAGAAGATCTTAGGGATAAGTTTAGCAAGGTGAAAGTTGTATTTTTCCCACCCAATATAACTTCAAAGCTCAAACCATTACGTCTTGGGATCATCAAAAATTTCAAGTTCCACTATCGGCGCTATCTTCTTTCTTATATTCTTGCTTCCATTGAAACATGTGTTCCTTCTTCTGAAGTTGCTAAAACTATCACCATATTAGATGCTATACGTTGGATATCAAAGCCATTGAGAGATGTCAAACCTGAAACTATCAGCAAATGTTTCGGATGTGCTGGAGTGACACCCTCTGCTATTGCTGTAGGAAGATATAGATCTGATTGAAGGAATGAATGACTTCATATCAGATTTCATGGGTACAGGTAGAGAGGCATGCTCATTGGATATTTACACAATTGGACAGAATGGTCTTTCTGTAAGTGCAGAGTTTGAAGATGAAATTTGGGACTGAGCATTTATAGAAAATCTGACAGAAACTATACAGGAATCAGAATCTGAGGATGAAGAATTGGAAACAGCGTATTACCTCTACTTTCTAAAATAACATCGTATAGGGAGGCTTTGAAAGTGCCAAAAGATGTCCAAACATATCTTGAAAGCCACTCTGCCTTAGATGAAGCATTTCTTACAAGTACCCAAGTGGACAAAGTTGCTATTTTGAGTACATTAAAAACAGAACAAAATACTTTAGATACTTTTTTTACATGATTGATAAAAAACTTCCCTTTTATGAAAACTTCAGTATAATGAAAAATAATCTGTCCCAACAGTTTCGTTATTCGGAGGTTTCACTGTAGTTGATTTGTCTTCCCACAGGGGTGGGAGCATGACCCATTGTACGTCATCAGATGTTTCTTCACTTAGTTATTCCTCTGTGAATGATGCTGTCGATTATGTGTTGGCTTTGGGTGAGTCTATTCAGATAGTAAAGTTGACGCTGATCATATTTCCTTCCAAAACATCAGGGTATAAGGCACATCTGTGATATAGTGATTGATTCAGGCAGAACGGAGATGCTTTTGCCACATGATAAAGTAAATTGTAAGATGACACTTGTTTCTAGCTGCTTCGGGAGGAAATCTAATTGCCACTCTGATTTGGAGACCTTGCTAGGGCATCTATGTCATGCAGCTGAGGCGGTATTGCCAAGTAGGATTTTTCTTTGGTACCTGTTCCTGTTATGAAAGGTGAGTGAGGGCTAGTGCTGTTCTAGTTCTTTGGAACTAGAACTGAAATGTTATTTAGCTCTACTATTTTTAGCTAGTTGTAGTTCTAAGACCTAGAGCTAGAACTAAAGTTTACAAGCTTGAGAACTATAGCTAAAACTAGAACAAATAGCTACTTCATGCTTGTACCATAACTATAACTAGAACTAATTGTAAAGTGATCCTGGTATTATAACAAGAACTAAAACTAAGGTGAAATTTTTTGGAATTTTGACTAGAACTATAACTATAAAGTAAATATTATTTGGTACTACAATTAGAACTAAAACTAAAGTGAAAATATTTTGGTACTATAACTAGAACTAGAACTAAAGTGAAAAATTTTTGGTACTATAACTAGAACTAGAACTAAAGTGAATTATTTTGGTGTACTATAACTATAACTAAATTTTTTTAGTACTGTGGCTTGAACTAAAACCATAACTAGTTCTGGTACTATAACCATAAACTAGAACTATTGCTAATATTATATGGACTATAGATACCTGGCCTTTATATTAGTAGAGCTAATTTGTTAGTTCCACAATTAGTTTACGTCTAGTCTGTATAGTATGTTGTACATGTTCTGAGTGACCACATGTCTCCTGATATGAAAAAACTGGCTATCTGCGGGAATTATAATTTTGAGCTATGGGCTCATAATCATGAAACATCTTTACCTCAGCAAATTCATTTTATGACATAAACATGTTATATAAGCAAAATCCTTTCATTTGATACCAAAATCGGGGATAGGGAAGCCTTCTTTCCTGAGTTAGAAACCCTTTGACACTTTTTCGTGATTGTGCACGGAGAATGTTTCACAGAGCTACCACAGAATAAAAAGAGAGGGCTTTAATGCGTAAAAGTTAACAATGGAGTTGCCATAGCAACTATTAGAAGTATAACAAAAACGAAGAAGACTATTTTGAAAACTATGGCTACAAAAAGAGATATTGCTCACTTTTAAAATGAAGAAATAGGTCCTCGAGACAGTGGCTACGTTGCTTTAATTCTTGGGGAAAACTTTTGTGTAGAAACAAGTGGTAAGCTTATTCATAACAGTTTGTTTACATACTAACTGTAAATAGCGGTTAGCTATCACAACGACATTCCATCACCTATATAAAACTACAATATTATCATACTAAACTCGGTTATACAGTGTATGTTTTAATTGATAAAGACAAAATATGAAGAAGTAGAAGATATGGCAGAAGAGAAAGAGACATAAGATTGTGATGAAGATATTATTCCACCACTGTTTGATCCTGAGGTTGCTGTGGAGCTATAAGTATCAGGTCTTGATTTTGAATAAGCAACGCCTGATGCTCCAGCTACTTCCACTGCTCACTCTTGTGATAACATGAGGAAGGAAGACCTACAGGCATAGGCGGTTCCAGGATTGTGGAAGCTGGTGGGCAAGGAAGAGAATAAAATAGCGTGCAAAGCGCGCCGTGATTTTGACCACGCCCACTGTTTCCCGCTGCGCGGAACTACGTTTTCCCATAATATTAGGGGCCTCACAATATTTAATTTTTCAACCATTGTCATCATCTGTGCATGTGCCGTGAGTGACTTTGTGATTGACTATGAGACTTTAGTCTCGCTAGCCAGGCCATTCCCCAGCCTACTGTCATTGCCGTCCACCCCAATGACTGTAGGCTGGGAAATGGTCTGGCTAGCAAGACTAATCAGACTCAGAGCATCACTAGAAGTAGATGTATCACAAGGAACATCATAATCAATAGTCTCTAACTCTGTGAAATTAACTGACACTAGATATGGCTCATCTATAGAAATTTCTGGTAGTAAATTTTGTGTGCAGCTGCCATTAACGCAACTGATAACTTATGACAAGCAGTACTTGCTTATTTATAGATCTATACATGTTAGCTATTAACCTTACTTCTTTCAATAAGGTCATCATCATTGGTATTTCTTTTTTTGGTTTAGGAGGCAAGAAAGAAAGGAGAGATGCTTGACGCTTGCTTGCCCGCATTCCAAGAAATGATTACAAAATTAACATTCAAAAGTTGATGAAACGTTAATTTTAATAACAATAATAATTAATTTTAATGATTATGATGACTTCCTTTTCCTGTCAAAACTTCAGGGAGGGCATTGCCCCTTAATGCCCACCCCTGGAACCGCCTATGCCTACAGGAGGAAGAATTATTGAAGTTCATTGAACATGGATGTGGTGGCGCAGATAGTTGCTATGCTCTGTTCAGTCACTCTTACATAAAAACATATAGATATGACATACAAGCCATGGTAAAGCTTGTTCAAGACATTGCTATTATTAGTCAAATGGCAGCCACATCTACCATGGGGGGATTGTCGACGCAACCACAGGAGACAGAAAGAGGCAATTTTTTATGTTTATGCATCAAAGTCATAAGGTTTGTCACTATGAGTGACACAACACAATTAATTATACTTTTCAACTAGATATGTAGAGTAGCACTTTTGAAGCTACATGCATGGGGCAAAAGCATGTTTAAGTAAATCATAAAAAGTTCAAAATGAATGGATTAATACCAAGGTATGAGACTTACAATTAAATGTTATGTACTCAATTTCATTAGAGTCCATGGAAACGCTGGAAAGACTCCAAACCAAACTTTGACTTGTGACAATATTCTTAGAGATCTTGTGTTCACCAGAAATTACACTGAAGTGCATGGAATCAGTCTTCCTGGAAGCATACCTGGAATGAAAAGTTACAAGAATAAGTTCTTACCATGCAGTACATCTAAAAGGCAGGGATACTTGGAGAATGCAGAATCATGTGAAGAGCTTCATGTCAAAGCATGTGCTGAAACAACATTCAACATGTTGTGGCGATGCTATGTGCCTTATATTGAAAAAATGAAACCTATGTCTGACTGGTATGCCACTTGTAAAGAGATAAGTGGACTGATTATAAGAAGTAATAACATGCAATCTGATGAAACAATAAATGAGGTAATTTAATACTGTAATAACGCAAGTATTATACTTACCATTTTCGGGCTATGCAAAAGGCACTAGATCATAGAAGTCTTGTTAAAAAAGGAAAAAGAGTACCATAAGGATGTATTAAAAGTGGCACAATTATTGTTAAAAGGGCTGCATACTGATGCAGCAGACAATTACAATCTGCCACTGACAAGTCTACTTGCTATGCTAAATATTGTAGTGCATTATAGCTTCTATTATGCTCAACAGGTAACATTTTGATATTAAAGTGTATCTAGCTTACTTACTTTTTTAAAGTTGACTATGCTTTAAGTCCACTCCAAGCAGGTCCAAGTTACTTTGTTACTCCAAGGAAATGTGGTATTTTTGGAGTGTGCCGTGAAGCTATCCCTCAGCTTTCTTAATCAATTAATCATTCCACACTGGTAAAGGGGCCAATCCTGTCATAAGCAAGGTACACTTTTATTTGAAGGCTCATGGCCTTAACTCAGGTAATATTCATTTCAATGCTGGCAACCACACTGGGCAAAATAAAAAATTACACTTATTTAAGTAAGTATAATGCATGCACAATAATGTAACTTTTTTAATGTAATTCTTTATTAATTTTAGTACCTTTTATGGAGAGCCATATCAGGACTTAATGCATCCATTTCAATATCCTTCCTGCCAGTTGGACACAAAATTTTCTTCAGACTGGTGCTTCAGACTTTTGAAGCAAAAGTTTCGTAAAGCAGAGGTGGACTCATTGGATGACTTCGTTCAAGTTGTAGAACAATCATCTGCTGTGAACAAAGCCCAACCAGTAGAAAGTAGCATTGGTGAACTCATTGTAGAAACATTTGACTGGTCCAGTTCCTTTGCTACATTAATCAATAAATAAAAGGCATCTAAGGCTTTCAACACTGTTGTAAATGCGACCTCACCTGGTTTAGTTGAAGCCAGAAAAGTTGTAGATGGCCCAGTCACACAATTCAATTTGCTGAAGGAGGACGCTGAAATAATGGAAGATAAACTACTTAATATATTACCACCAAGGGTATGTCAAGTGAAAGCAAATGGTACCTTTATGAAAAGATAAGACTGTTTTGCAAATAGGTATGTAAAGATGTAACCTGCCAACTTCCTGATGTACCTCGACCAATAGGATCATCT